ACTTGGCAGCCATTGGTCCCTAACTTGGCACTCTAGACACTCACTTAAGACTCCAAAACGGGGCTGCTAAAGAGCCCTAGCTCTGATACCAATTGATGTGTATAGAGTCTAGGGTGTTCTTTGAGCAAAACCAAAATGACGATACAACTCGAAATTTTTAATAAGCGGTCTTGCTTAAACAAGCAAATAAACAATTACAGCCACTCAAATCAGAAGTAAAAAAACTTTAAGACATGAATACTACCTACAAATGACTCTATAACAGTTCTCTTATGCGGCACAATACATGTCTTTGCCCACAAATCAAAACTTTGTCAAAAAGCATGACATTTTTATAAGAAATGAGTTTATGCTCTTACATAACTAAATGACATAATATAAACACTTGAAACAAAAATTACATAACTTTTCTAGACTTGTAACATTGAGTTGAGTGCCAATATTAAGTGGGGAAGCCAATGGATTTGAACCTTTATGCCTGAGCCACAACCGGACCTTTTGAGGAATTAATATCGTCCCAAGGATGAGTGCAAGAGTGGTTTTGTAATCACAAGGTGATCAATTCAAATGGGAAGATTGAAGCACTTTTAAAACAACTAATAAAGCCCAATGAGAGAGATTAAAATGATGGAAATCAGTTTGCAAAAGGAATGAGAGAGATCGGACTCAAAATGAGCCAAATATGAACAAACTACTCCATATGGTCCACGAATGTTTCTCTCAATGTAAAAAGATAAACTCTAACTCAACAAATGAATTTTTAAAATGGATATTAACTCTTTGGACATGAAGATTAATAAAGGATGTACTCAAGAAAATTTGGATGGAAGGAATCTGTAAGAAACTAGACATGATTCATAAAGCAATCAAGGTATTAAACTCACGATCAAGGTTAAGGAGCACAACTTATAACTCTAGCTTAAAGATCTAGAAAAACCAATGATAAAAGGAAGTTAAACTTCTGTAAACATGAATTTACAGCAAGTTTAGATCATGAAGAAGTAAAGCAATGAAGGAGAAACTCACAAATAGATAATACCTTGATGGTGACATATGATGGACTTGACTTTGTAGAAGGAGCACCAATAAATATCATCTTGTGATCAAGAACATGAATCAAAAGGGGCTGAACGTGGAGCTCAAGTTTTGATGTCTTTTCTCTCTCTTTGATTCATGATAATGTTTTTTTAGGGTTTGAGTTTGGGCTTTAAGTGTATTTATATGAAGTGTATCAGTTATGAATTGATTATGACACTTGATGCACTTCATCAATGGCATGTGAGAGACTAATTATACTCATCCCCATCCAACTACTGGGATGAAGGGATGCGATTTAAGCACCTTATTACTTCATAAACATTAAATCAATGCCACATTACCCTTTTATCCTTGTCCCCATATATTAATTCCAATCATATCCAAAAGGGCTTTACATAATGACCTTTGAATTTTAATAAATCTATAATTGTAGAGACTGATCAAGGGTAAGGGCATTTTGGTAAAATGTTTCAATCACATGGGAAAGGTAAAAGGGGCTTATGACACCACCAATAGAATTAGCTCAACCTACACCCTTCACATGTACCTTGCACTTTTCACATGGGTCACACCAATGGGGCACATTCACATGAAATGTTCACATGGCATATGTCCCATGTGGATAGTAATATTTTAAAACATTATTTTATTTTAAAATTGCTTTGGCTCTACACAAGCCAAGCATGTCACATGTGTGACATTTAAGCATGTGACTAAAATCCAACTTTAAGTCATAACAATATAACATAAGGTTTGAAAAAAAAGAAAAATAAAAAAGAAGGTAAGTGACCAAGTGCCATAGGGTCTCCCATGCATGGGAATCTTCTCCCAAACAAAGGAGGACCCAACGTGAGCGGTCCATGGTGCCACGTGGCCACCCTATGACCACTTGGGTGCCACATGGCATCCACATGGACATCCTCACATAAGCCAGAACAATTTTGAAAATCACATTTTTGGTGATTAAAACAATCCAAAAAATTCTCCAAAAATTCCAATAAATATTTAAATCATTTTTAAACATCATTTCTCATTAAAATAAAATCGGACAAAAGGCATGTGAGATCTCGAGGCTTTGATTCTAAGTATCGAAGCACTCCATTGCACTAGTCTCGTATGATGTTCCACTATGTCTCAAGTTGACCCAATGCACTTATGCTCCACAATTTAAGGCAGGAACACATAATTGGACACATCAAAGTCATTGAGGCAGAGCTTCCCATCATCGAGTTCTCAATAGATTACAAGCGCACTCCTATGAGACATATTCCTACTTAAATACAGGGGTCCTCTCAAAACACATGTGCACTGGCTCTTCTAAGTCGGATAAAACTTAAGAAGAGTGGCTTCCCTTGCGAATGAACATGCACATGCCATGGAATGGTCTTGTATCAGGTTACGGACTCATGTCCCATGATTCTTGACCATCCCATACAGGGCCAACTCTCAACAAACACTCGGGTTTTATGCTACTCGATTGGATTCTCCAAGCCCTGGTTAATCACAACTAATCATGAGGCATTCTAATTAAAATTCCTGACTAGGAGGTGACCCTCACACTTCCTTAAGAAATTGATTTCTCAAAACGTAAACTCTCAGTGCCTCATATACTCGGGGTAAGAGAATCTGGGCCTCAGTTCGCAAAGTACCCAGATTCTATCTCTTTCACTTACTCCCACTAATCGAAAGACTCTTGGCATTAAGGCCTTGAAAGCCCATATTGCCAACATCATGGACCTTTAGTTTGTAGTACTTTGTAACTTTAAAGTTTGTGATTACAGATTTGTACTTATGGTTGTTGAATGTTTATGAAGCTAGTTTCTAGTTTCTATCAGGGGATAGTGGATACAGAATCTTCGACAGCTAATACTTTTGGAGTTAATGAATAAACTTAATACCTATTGTTACATATATCACCTCCATATTTTTTCCTGTGCATTAACCAATTTTTTTATAATTTTTAATATTTCTTATATTTATTTACCGCATCGCCGCGATGCACCCGCATCCGGACCGCATCGAGCCGCAACCTCCCCCTCTCCCCCCCCCCCCCCCCATCGCTTTCGGCCGCATCCCACATTTTAAAACACTATTGCCAAATTAGGGTTTCAAACCTTGGGAGTCAAAGAGATAATAGGGAGAAATTTCTCATCCAATATTAAAGATTGAGTCCTTGTGGATTTTGTTACTAGAGATGTACATTGGTTGATTTCTACTACAAATTCGCTATGAACAGACATTGGGACTTTCTATATCAGGAATTCGGACTGGTTCAGATACCTTATTATAATCTAAGAGTACAACTGATTCTCATTAACTGTTTGACTAAAGGGATTTATCACTTTTATATAGAAGATCTGGGATATAAAGGACTAAAATGCCCATGCCCATCACAAATATTTATATGGAAAATGATGGGGTGTGCACACTATTAGTACTCCTCCCACCTTGAAAACAACTTTTGATATGATTGAAGGATCCATACAGTTTGTGAATTGTCTCCTTCACTTCAAAAACAGTCTCATTCAGACAATTTTTTTCGGAGCTCTCAAAATGCTCCAAGTCAACTATAGCCCCCAAATGAGATCTAGACTGTCCATTTGAATGAGAGGTAGATCTAGAGGATTTGGAGCTTTCATGAATCTCCAAATCAAATGAGTCTTGGGTCACCTCCAAAGTCCAAACTAGTTTTTGAGATGGGGGAAGCTCCAAATGGAAGCTTCGGGAGGAGCACACCATCATTTTCCTTCATCCACACTGACACACGCACACACACACACACACATACACAGAGCATGCAAAACAAGGATTGCCATCATTCATGATCAGACCAAGTGTGTGGAGGTTGACTTCGCTCAGATGGGACTTAATATTGGCATTCTTTCTCTTATATTTTGTGTGATGATTACGTGAAGTTGTTCACTAAGGGCTGTCAGGACAAGGCACTATGACCGTCTTGTGGGCAAACTGTTGATGGTCTTCATTGGTGCATCTTTTTAAGGGTGTTGAGTTTGAATTGTATATGTGTGTGTGGTTGTGTTGTAAATGTGTGTGTGTGTGTTTTCCTTGTATGCATTTTACTATTCATACGAGTGCATTTCTATCCATTGCATACCCCAACTAGAAGGATGATTCCCTCATTCTTAACAACATGAACAACATGCATTATTAGCAACCTAGATAGATGAATTTAATGAGATAAAACTCCCAAACTACTAGTTTCAGACGAATTATTATCTATTCAGCTTTAAATTTGATTTGTAGATCTGGCGATGATGGTTTATTAGATCTTTATTTAATAAAATTCGTTAGGCATTTGGTGTCCTTAGGGTGTTAGTTGAAAGGAAATTATTTAAAGGCCCGTCTTTTGGGTTTAGCCAGGGCCTTTGTGTCTGTTTCGTCTTTTCAGTTGTTTGCAAATTTAGGAATGGGCTCAAGTCTAGGTAGCCAGGATGGTGGGTCGCTGGATCATGATGACTTTAATTCCATTGTACAACGGTTAGGGGGCCCCATCCCCATTGAAGTTACCCAAAAAAAAAAAATTTGTTTGCAAATTGCAATTACTTCTTGTATTAGGCAATTCCTATAGGCCTCCTACACATAAAATGGGTAAGTAAACAACATGACAATTGATCAAACAAAAGAAAGAATCAACCGTGTACCCTAATATATGAAGGTCCTCAAGTCTTAATCCCTAGATTGGCGTAAGTGAGAAAGGCTCTCTCTTGTATCGATGATGAATTTTGCCTAAATGTATTGTTTCTACCCCATCTAGTTTTGCAAGAGATTTGATTTGACTTGTACATGTTCACCCTTTTTTTTTTGAGAAAGTGTTGATGCTATATCTTTCCCATATTTAAGACATTTATATCCCTTGTTGATTCAGGCCTCTCCATTTCATATATTTTTTGATCAATTTTGTGATGAGGATTTCATAGCTGATGACTATGATGCATGCACAGGTGTTAATTGCTAACATTGGAGATGCAAAAGCAGTCTTGGCTCGTTCAACAGGAGATGGATATCTGGATTCTTCAGATGAAAGATCATTAAAAGCCATTGTTGTATCTAGAGAACACAAAGCAATCTATCCAGAAGAACGTGCTCGCATACAGAAGGTAAAATTAGTGTGTTTGTTTTAATTAATCCATTGTGAAAAAGTATTCATTGATGTTACTCTTTTTGACTTTGATTGTAAGTTCTCATGTACCTAAGGTCAGGGCTAGGGCTTTTATTTTTCCTATCATATAGTTGTGAAATTTTCTGGACTGAAGAGTGGATTGCACTACAGATTCAGGTTTTAGACTCTACTGCACAAATGACCCAAATAAGCTTAAACTTGCTTATACACACAAACATACATGCATCTGTGCATACATACATGCTTAAATATAAACTTGCATGTACGTACATAGGCTGATAGAAGCATGATCCATGCATTTCATACATACATATGTGTGTGCGTGTGTGAGAGAGAGAGAGAAAGTGAGGATCAAGAACTCAATTTATTTGATTATGGAATTAGAGTATGTTGGCTCAGTTTTTTTTATAATGGAGGTAGTGTCTGTTTGCTCAAAATCACAGGTCCTTTATGTTTATGCATCATACTATTCAATTACTGTATGTTGGCTCAAATTTCCATCCCAGAAACATAAAGGACTTGTGATTTTGCTTATTGTCCGCTTCATTGAATAGTATGATGCATACACAATTTCCGGTAAATGCATCCTACGTAGCTATTTTTATTTACGCAAAATGTTTTAAAACTCAGGGAGTCCAATCAAACTCGTCCTACTGACTCAGACCTGGCAGGGGCTGTGTTGCATTGAAAAACCTCGGGAACTGACTGTTTCACAAGTTCCCAAGAGCTGCTCTAGGCTCGAGCCCTACCCTGTTGGATGCCTGAGTCCGAGTTTTCCATCATTGGTTGACACTAATGCAATTTTTGAAGTTGGACCACCTCAATTCCCATAATTATGTCCTGGTTTCTGTGCAACACAATTTTGACATATTTTCTAGAAAACTTTGGTTGATTCCCTTGAAAATCCCTCAGTATTCACTTACACTCTTTCAATTTTCTTCACATCTCAATTGGTGTGTTTTTCTTATATTCTTTGTTGTTTTAAATTTCTTGTTTCCTGCCATTACTAAATCTTCTTTGCCTTCTCATTCGATACCCTTTCGTTTTCAAGTACTGACCTTGACTTTGCTTGATCATGATGTCTTGTTTGGTCTATTCTCCTATGTAAATGTAAAGCATATTTGACTTAGTTATTACCAAAAAGACAGTCTATATTTGATTCACCTGTATCAAAATATTTGTTCTTCAAGACACCAAACCATCTTTATGGTTGTATAGTTAGGGAGTTGGAGCACGAGAGGGTGCGAAAGAAGGAAAGGGGGAGGGCCAATATTCGGATGTATTAGGGTAGGAAATGGCTTGAACAATGTTTCAAGCAAGATGGGGATTAAAGTTTTGGGTTATGCCACCTTAAGTACAGATAGAGTTGTCAATCTGGTAAGATCAACCTGTTGACTTGCCAGGTCAATCCAACCAAGGTTCGGATCTCTTGGATCCAGTCGTTAGGTCAAGATGGGGCAATTCTGGGTCCAGGTCCAGACTTGGACCTTATGAGGTCCCGTCATGGTCCAAATATGGGTCGACTCCAAATTTACAAAGACCAGGTTATCGGGTGGGTTTGACCTAATGGGTTATTGGGTCCATCTGCAATGGTCCAGGACTGGATCCCAACAGCTAGACAGAGCGAGTGCTCTGTTTCCTTCAATATCATTTGGAAATTCAAAAGCTGAACAAATAAAAGGCAGGTTCAGCCCCTATTTTGCTTCTTCCTTATTATTGGACCATTTAGGTTAATGTAAACGAAATCTGGCCAGAAAATTGTCAAATGGCACGCATCCCTGCTTTTTTAATTTACTGCACCATAGTAGATTGATATTTTATGTCAAATCATATGTGAACTTTATACATAGTATAAACCATATTCATTGAGGACTTTGATATTATTCTTATGCTCCATGCTTTGATATTTCATTGTGAGATCAGCTTGTTGTAGTTAATCTGTGGTTTCCAATTATGCGGCTACTAATTATCTCTCTTCCTGTTGGACATTGTGGTACATAGCCATATTTTCTTTGTTAGGCTGGTGGGTAATCTGTCCTAATGGACGACTGCGAGGATACCTCGAAGTCTCTAGGGCATTTGGAGTTCGCCATTCATTGAGGACTTTGATATTGTTCTCATGCTCCGAGATTTGATATTGCATTATAAAGATCAGCTTATTGTAGTTAAACTGTGGTTTCCATTTATGCTGCTATTATTTGTCTCTCTTCCTGTTACACATTGTGAGTTCATATGTATGTTTTCTTTTCTAGGCTGGTGGAGTAATAGGTTCTAATGGACGATTGCAAGGACGCCTTGAAGTCTCTAGGGCATTTGGAGATCGCCAATTCAAGAAGGTTAGTTACTCTATTCTCCTTGACTAATTATTTCACTCAACTATTGATTTCCTGTATTCTCTTGGCATATACATGTGCCTCCATGTTATGGTAATACGTAAACTGACCAATTGGACATGAGTCTTTTCTGCAGTAATGCTGCAAGTTTCATATTGTCTTTGTCATAATCAAATTCCAAGACATAATTGCTATGAGCAAACTGCCACCACCACTGTAGCACCAGGAGGTCAACAATACTAGCTGGGATTGGGAACAGATCTTGTTTTATCTAAGTGCTTTTGCTAGGCTTATAATTCAGTTATATGCTTATATTCCATTTAGATAAGTATGCTGCAACATTTGAGGTATTGAAGCTCCATGAAATTCCATTTGTTATGTTTGCCTCTGTATGGGATTTTGCTTACAGTAGTCTTGGAAACTTGTGACTTTAGTTGTAGTATTGTTTTTTCATGCAGTATCTTTTTTATACTGTGTACATGTTTGTTGCATACAATGCACCATGCGGTTCTGTTGGAGGGAAAGAAACCACTGAAACTGCTTTTCCTCTTTTCACTATTTTTTTTCTTGGAGAGTTGTCTTTTATCGATTTCACTCACACGCACACTACGATAATATTAGTCTTTGTAATTCAACATTTTACTATCATAATAATGTGTGGTGATGAACACTAGGACCAAGATCATCTTGATCTGGAGATGCCTTGGTGCTCTCACTACCTAAGCTGTAGTGAGATGAATATGGTCTGATTGTTTGAATGGAAGCACCCAACAGCAGATTCTTGTGTTCATGCTCCTATGGGAGCAAACAACCTGGTCTGCAAGGCCATCCATGCATGGCGGGTTACCAAACCTTGCAATAAAGGCTGCAACAGTTAACTTTGCATCCAGATGCCCATTTTTCTTACAGTGAAGAGGACATGAATTATCTTCTTGCTGGCTACCCATCCACATATTTGATTAGGAATGAGATGAGCACATGTGAAACCTTTGGACAATGCATAATCAACTAGATTAATGCCTGGGAATTTTTTAGAGATTAGCTACCAAGATATTAAAAGTGGGGGTTGTCAACACTGCATAGAAGGCAACGGCTCATTTGGTTTACCAGAAACTACATACTACATAAACGGCCTTAGTGGGATCCATTAGCCATTTTTGGGAGGTAATAGCATTCTGAATCTCTCTTTCCCATAACTTTGAGGGTCTCGGATATGACTATGAGAAGGGGGAGATGGAGCCTGTTGGGCGTTTGTTGTAGTGTTTCAAAAATCATTCGTCCTACTAAGAAATTTCCTGAGGTGGATTGGATGTGGAGGCTCGCAATATCAGGCCAAACAACCATGGAATCGCCCAAGTCTCCTTGTTTTCCATTTTTCTTCCTTGTTTTTTTTGGTCAAATATAGGCTAGTCTGAATCGTAAATTGCCTGAGCCAGACTGGGCGACTGGGAATATGACCCTGGCAAGGTGCAGGCTGATTCCAATTTTTTAAACACTGATTTTTTGTGCATTGCATGCCCCACTGAATGGACATTTTCATATGTGCAACACAATGCCATCTGAGAAGGGCAGGGGCTGATTTCTCTTCCATGATAAGAACATGGACATGGTAGCAATGACATCTATTGGGTACATTGCAACCAACAATCAAGCAGAGGCATTGGGACTGTTGGAGTATTGTCCACGTGGGTGGAAACTCAGGGCTGATTATGGAGGGCTTGAACCAACAAGGTGAAGTTGGTTGGAAGTCTAGAAGATCAATTTATGAATGCTAGGGAATTCATGCTGGTATATAATGGACTGCGAATCACATCTACTAGAGTTTTTAGATGGAATTTGAGACACTTAGGTAAGCCATGCATGTGATAAAAGGGCCCCACAGACATGGCTTGATCCATGTTTTCTTTGGGACATTCCATACTAAAGACAAGTTAGTTTTTGGAAATTGGGAAGTCGGGAGCTTAATATATATGAGTTATTAATATTGCATGTTAGATTGGATTTTTGTGGGTCTTTGATTGGAGTCACTGGATTTTTGGTTTTGAGAGGCGAAGCATTTTTCCATTAATTTGGTTTTTCTGGTTAACTCATTAAAAGTAATAATTAGGACAAGCATACAATAATGCCATTTTTCTTCGGCACAAGGAGGTCACAATCCATTATCGCCATTGGATGTGAAACAAGTTGCTTGGACTGCTCCATTGACTAAGCTCAAAGTTTAAAAGAACATTTTACAAACTGTGACACAACTAAAGCTATCAGATTTCACATCTAATGGCTGACTGATTGTGACTTCCTTGTACTATTATGTGTGCTTTTCACATATCAGTCGCTTGAAAAGAAGACAACTGTTCATGACTAGCTCGCTTTATAAAAGTATGTTTGGCCTCATTTCATTGAAGTGCCTAACTCATGGACAATTATTCCTTCTCTTTTGATTGATTATGTTACATCTGCTGTATCTTAAGAATTTGATTAGTAAATACTTTCGTCGTTTTGTGCCAGTTTGGACAGGCCACCCTAGACTGACTAAAAACGTTTGTTCCAACGCACTAGACATTGACCACTTATAGTGAGATTTTTTTTGTCCTGCTTTGTATTTGAACCCTATTTACTTGAAAAGTGTCACAAAAGCCTGCAAATCAGTAATAAATCACTAAAAAGAACCTGCTTTTTCTTAGTCCTTGATAAAAAGTAATCAAGAAAACACTTAATCAATCCATCCAACTGGGTCTTAGGCTTTACTCTTGATCGTGGCTTATATTATTGCTTGAAATTGGACGTGAGAAAATAATTAGACGTGAGAAAATACATGTGTCTGCAGCAATTATACATTTTCTTCCATGTAAAACTATGATTCACTTGACCTCTTTTTGTAAAATGATCAACTTACTATGATTGAATCCTTTGTATTGGCTCATTACGGTTGGGTCGTGTTTTTGTACTGTGCATAATATTGAGGTGTATGACAGGTAGGTGTGACTGCGGTGCCTGACATCCATTCGTTTAATATCACTAAAAGAGAGCATTTCATTATTCTCGGTTGCGATGGACTGTGGGGAGTATGTTCTCTTTCCTATCTTAGTTTCCTGTACATTTTGCATCCACATGCCTTATAGTGATAATAGAATGTAGTATTTATCTATTGATGATGTCGTTGTTCATGACATCAGGTTTTTGGATCAGGAGATGCTGTTGAGTTTGTTGGGAAACTATTGAAGGTAATATTATCTGCACTATTCTGGAAACATAATAATTTCATGGTGCATGTTCTTTTAGATGATCGTATTACCTTTGTATATGTTATTTCTTGTGTTTCTCTTTTCTTATGTTCTTTCATGAAATTGCACATCAATACTATGCCGCACATGCACACATATTGCTACACATACATGTACAAATGAGTGTGCATGTGCACACACACGTTTGTTTGAAAGCTAGGGCATATTCTTTTCTATATTGTTAGTTGTTGAGACTGGAAGGAAGAAAAGAACAATTGAGCAAGGGAAATCACAAGGAAATGCATATTATTTGAGATACAAAAACTGTTTTACTTCTGAGGGTTGAATATCCATTTTATATGTAAAAGCATTTTGTGATAGTGACAAATTGTCTGTGATCTTAATAGAAAAACATACTTCAATGCCCATCAATTTGGAAAACATAAAATGAAATCACATGAAGATTGTGCACACTCGAGAGCTTAATTCTAGTGCTCATTTAGTAGGAAAAAAGCAAGTTGACTTATCAACCTGGGTTAAATGTCATGCTCTCTGCTCCTTATGTTTGCAATCCTGCCCATAAACACAATAGTTAAAGGCTTCTCCTACTATCACTGCACCTTATATATATGTATATAAATATATATGAGGAGAGTCCGAGGTCAGCTTGCTAGCTGACAGACTCTAATAAAGGCCCAACGGTCTTATATTGAATATGGGTTGATTGATGGTCATGATTGCATTTCGTATTATAATTTTAATTTTAAATTTTTTTGAAACCCAAATCACTTAAAGTTTTGAGTGTCTACTCTTGAAAAATAGTCGAACTTAATAAAAATATTAAAAATGTAATTTGTAACAAATAAATTGACTAAAATATCCCCAAAAGTTATAGGTCAATTTTAGTTTTGACGAACAATATTTTTAATATTTATTCGGTGTGCCTTGATGAGAAGAGTGATTGCTCCGCATTTCAAAAGATTTGGATTTATAGAAAAAATATCAAAATTCAAATATGAAATGCAATCGTGACCATAAGATTGGCCCAAATTGAATCTAGACTGTTGGGCTTAGACTATTCCATCTTCTAGTGGGCGAACAGGATCTTTACATATATATATATATCGAAGATGCTAGGGTGAGCCCACTTGCTCAAAGGAAAAAATGAGCCCAACGGCTCAGATTGAATCTGGGCCGATCTGATGAAATCCATTTTTTTCTTATGTCCATGCATGTTATGTCGAGATGATCAATTTGAGGATATTTAGGCATCAAAACAACCTCTTCTAGTGAAATTTGAGGTAGGCTCTAATTTGATTCTTTAGAGCCTCGGCTCTATATAAACTTTTCCCTTTCTAGAAACTCTATGTGAACAAACTAGGGCTGAGCTTGTAAGTTGATCTCTCTCTAGGTTGGTTGTCACCCAACATTTCTTCAAAAGACAACAAGCTTCACTTAGGGTTTTGAAAGTCCCATCTTTCCTCTTGTTATTTTCTTTTCATAGAACTTACTCCAATAAGAGAGGGTGGTGTGATAGAAAATATGAGGAGAGAGGGCGGTGTGAAAGAAAATAGGAGAGAAGGTGGTGTGAGAGAAAGAGAGGGGGATAAAATTTTATGGCGTGAGAGAGAGAATCTTATGTTGAGAGGGGGTTCAAATCTTGTTTAACTTTGAAATATAACTAAACTTTATCATTATCTAAATCTCTCATAATCACAGATAATCTATGTTTTATCATTATCTAGATCTCCCATAATCAAAGATAATCTATTTTTTAAAACTCTCATAGGATAGGAAACAAAATCTAATTTAAAATAAGAGACGTTCTATATTAATTAATTTTAATTTTTAAACAACAATAAGAAAGTGGGGCATGCCCTCCACTTCGGAAATACGTGGTGTACCCCTTTTATTTCCCAAATAAGTGGCGTGCCAGTTTTTGTATAAAAAAAATTTGGGCGTGGCCCCCTTGAGGGTGGCACATGTTCCTCACTATAAAAAACTCATATGAGCCCAACGGCCTAGATTCAATATGGGTCAATCTGACGGTCACGAGCTCATTCCATGTTTAAATTTTATTTTTTTTCTACAAATCCACATAACTTGAAATTTTAGACGTTTATTCTTCTCATCAAAATGCACCTAATAAAAATATTTAAAAAATAATTCATAAAACTAAATTGGCCAAAATAATCGAGGCTTGTGAAAACTGTGGGGCAATTACTCATAATGCGAAGTGATGGATAGATAGACCTCGAAGTTAATACGAAGTCATGCATGGATAGACGTCGAAGGTGGGAGCAAAGTGTACCGGTAAACACATAACACCTGATGAGAAAGTGGAGGCACTTGAACTCGATTATGATAGGAAACATGATCGTTGAAATGGTTATGACTCGTCTGCCTATGCTCGCTTGATTGAAAGATATGATCTGGGGTTATATTTTTGGTCCCACATTTGTTATTCTAAGTTCTGAAGATTTCATAAATACCCTTTTGATGAAAATTACAGCAAAAATAATATTTTAAAATTTTAAAAATCATAAAAATATTTTTAATACCCAAATAAAATATACTAGGAGTAGATTGATACATGTCGTGCGGAAGTTTGTTAAGGCTTTGGCCCTTATTATCACAGGCCTACAACTGCATGCAGGAGACCACACAGTTTTCTGACCTATAAATATCATCCCTGGGCATCTCTCCAGCATCAACATAAGATGACCTACTACAAACCCTTCTCGGTAGTGCACATACCCAAAGGGTAAGGGTTTTGAAAATGACTAGGGCCATAAACAATCTAACCCTTAGTCAATCAACACACTCCCACTGAAGTGCATATTCCATTATAAAATATCATATTTACAAGCTCTTTAGGCCTTTAAATACCACAAAACCGAACAAATTCCTCCTAAGTTGTTGCTGGAAAATTGGGCTTGGTTGGAGTGCTTTCAAGTAGGGAGAGGGAGAGAGAATAATCACTACTCTTTTTCTCTCTCTAAACAAAGGTTTCTAGTTTCTAGAGCCCCCAAATCCACCCAGTTTAATAAAAAATCCAAAACGCCCCAATAAAAAATAAAGAACAAAAAGCACCAAAAAGTTTAGAACAATGACCAAAACATTTAGGGGAGAAATGTTAATCTTTTAAAACCATTGGACAGGCCTGTTGGGGTATGAACTGGTGACTAGCTAGTCCAGTGATTGGACCGGTTCGGTGGACATTTTCGTCCCGGGGGCGAACCTAATCAGAATGACCACCAATCCAACGGTGTTTCTGGTCTGGTCCGGTTCAGATAACATTGACATATACTAAAAAACAATGACAATCATCAGATTCATAGTTACCCAAAGCGATTCGGAAACCGAATTGACCAGCAAGGCTGTGGCATCTTCTTGTGTAGAGTCACAATGGCCTATTGGTCCTGACTCCTATAGCATTACAAAAGCAGGCCCTGGTTTGCCCTTCGAACTTCCATTGAGTTTACTTTGATTTCCCTATATTTGGTGAACCAGTTTGAAAATCTTGTCTCATGATATGAGGTGGATTTAGAGATTCCCCCCCATTGATTGTGAACGTCCATTGCCGAATAGCCAATGAATTATTTATATTTGATGTCACACGATAGTACAAGACTCACGGTGTGGTCCTTTAGAGCTAAAAGGCTTGACACTCCACACTGGGATATTCTGTGATTTCTTTCCATCCAAATTGACTAAGTGATGGTCCAACTGGAGAGATGCCACATTATCCTAGCTGTTTTTGAATTGAGGATGGCATCCATAACCTAAAGATTTTGTCAACTAATTTTAGCCAAACCCACGGGATGTCTTGACTATTTATAGACCAGGACCAACTGCATTAGGCTGTTTTGAGATGGAAAAACAGATGATCTTGTTCCTCTTCTTCTGTTACATGTTGCATCTGTTCAGTAATTGGATGCCCCTATGTTGTAGATGGTCAAAGGTTAGGGCCTTGTTCAAGCCAGCAGGCCAATTGAAATACGAAGCTTGGGTGGTACCTCGTCTTCCCAGACACAGCGTACACTTGCTGGGATTGGGTTTGTTGCAGTTACCAATTGATGCAACAAGATTTTTCATGGGACTTGAAAAGAGGAATATATAATCCTCACAGCAATTCCTCTTAAAACAGGCATTGTTATTCTGTTCTGAGATTGAATAAACGAACACAGTAGATTCAACTTCTTGAGGGGCCAGTGCTGATGGTTGGCCAGCACGCACCATGAATTGCTGTTTAGGCAGTGGGAAGCTACTTTGTGTTATGAGCTTTTAAATAACCATACTTGTCGTTGTAAATATTTCACATCTGTAGATTAGTTTTTTAACCTGCAGTTTCATTTATAGCCATCGTGATTTACTGCACAATAGTTTCTGGGAATCAAAAAGATATTACATGTGAATTGAATGTCTTCGTGATTTTGTTTGGTCGCTATCAACTGCAGGAGGGGCTTTCTGCTAGTATTGTAAGTCGGCGCCTTGTTCGTGAAGCCATTCGTGAACGTCGATGCAAGGATAACTGTACTGCAATTGTCATAGTGTTCAGGCAAAAGTGACCGCTCTAAGGATGCATACTTCCTTCTTTTGAGGGAAAGTGCAGGGCTTCTTGCTGCCAAACTTTCTAGGCCATATACTTCACTCCATTTACAAAATGTTGATGAAATTAGAACTTTGTTTCAAAGTTACCTGGGATAATTGAATGGAAACTTCATTCTAATGTTTTGTGGACACTTCAATTTAGTGGTTTTCCTTTTGGGTTATGAGACCTGATGCGGTTAGGTTAGATGTGAGTGGTTCGAAGGGCTGCTGGATAAGTCTCACATTTCGAACATAAGTAAACTAGTGGAATCTTGTCGCATTATCAGTTACTGCAGATGATGCATTGGCATCACAACTGGTCAGAATATGTTCCTCCCCTGCACTCAAAGTCTATTGTGCGGCTCTCTCTACTGCCTCCCATGAAATCGCATATTATTTTGGCTGTCATATTAGTGCCGTTTTTAGAACTAGTGCTTTTGTTGAAGATTGCTCCAGACCATCTGGGATGCTGATTGAACTAGTTGGGAAATAGTGGAGAAATTAAGGATTTTATACTTGTTGGGACAAATTTCATTTTAAGAGAAATGAAGATATTTTCATGATTTGGCTGCTGCTCTTTTATTTCATGATTTCTCTCATTTTCAATTTTTTTTTCCCAATTTATATTTTTCTTGCGTGGGTACAGTACAAGGGTGACACAAGAGGTTCACCTCCCCAGTACTTTTATTGTACAGGGACGCTTAATTTGATAGGGTTTGTTAAGCTTATTTAACCATGCAAAATATTTTGATTTCATTGTTAAACAAACTGCTTCCTATTTGTCTTTTCATGATGTGCTTGCTTTACAACTTTAAATTTGTTTCGCTTATTTTAATTTGTTATTGTGAAGGAAAAAATAAAACCATCTTTGTTCATCTTTTGATCAATTAAGGAAAAAGAAAATTTTAACTAAAAGCTCAAAAGATTTATCCCCAATCAATTCTCAACCCCCTGGCTGCCATTAAACTAACAATCTAGGGTTCCAAATCATTAGAAAAAAGAAAAATGCTTTTATAAGGCTGCAGCCAAAGTACCGGCCATTATTTTGGACGATGATGATTTGCTAAGTAGAAAATCCGGTTGCCCCTCTTTTTTTTCATCAACTCTCTCTCTGAATTTTCTACAGTTGACGTCAAAAAAGCACCAAGCTGAAGCAGCAGCAAGGAAATCACAAGACATGGTAGAGAAGGGGCAAATGGTTCATACGAGATCTTAGTAGAAACTTCAAAGTAAGCAAATTGGTGAATCCCGTCTTTTTCGAAAGAGGGGAAAATGATGATTTCTGAAAATCTCCATTTTCTCCTCGTTGTATTTAAGGTAAATTATAGGGACCCTTTTTTAACTCTGCTTCTTAGACGTGCAAATCACACTCCTAACCTTGGAGCTTTCCATATTTGTAACCCCCCAAAGTCAAACCAAAATATCCTCTTTCTAGGCTATATTTTTCACTCTTTAAACTAGACCGATACATCTTGAATACAAAATTGGGCCGGCACAATTTTGTTGTGTCAGACCGGCTCTATATACAAGTTCTACCGGTCTGGCACACATGTTGGACGTCACGTTTTGGAATCGCTAAAATGGAGGTAGCAATTAGGATGGGAATAGGTTAGGTCAGAACTGGCTCTTGGATCATATGGGTCTTGACTTTGTCCCTCACACACTACTCTACCCCCACCCCAACCAAAAAAAAAAAACTTATCGTTTTCCTATTTTTTAAGCTTATTTAATATTTTTTTAGGTTCTTTTTAAATCTCCACCTTATAAATCTTGATTTTAATTTTATTTTATTTTATTTATTTGTAATATTTTATAGATTACTGATACAACACAGATCTATGGTTGAACCGGTGTTAGACATAGCAACCGGGTCGAACAGGACCCGGCCAGGTTACCTAGAACCGGTCCATGGGCAAGTCCAGTTAATCCTAGTTTGGCGGTCAAGTTCCCAAGTTTGAAAAAATTCACAAAAAAATATGAAAAGAATCCAAAAAAAATAAGAAATTTATTTTAATGTGTTTTTATATGTTTTTCTATTATTTTGGCAAAGATTAAAAAGTATTTTAGCTTTGAATTCTTATTGTTACATTTTCCCTTATTTTTTAGATTATTTCTAAATTACCGCTCATCACAAATTGATTTTTCAAAATCTATTTTTCACTACTTTTTAATGTCATTTAGTGTTCACATTGTTTCGTCTTTTTTGAAAAAAAAAAAATTTATATATTTTTATTTTTTAGACACTTTTTCGCCTACCAACTCGACACGAGCAAGTTGCCCAAACCGATTCCAAGTTACTTGGACCCAGCCAATAGCTGGATTCTGCAGCCGGGTCGTCCAAGCCTGCACTAGGATTAACGATCCGTTCCACCGATCCGGGGTTTGAAACACTAGTTGATTATTGATTGGGTAAAGTTTTCACTGTGGAAGGAGATTCTCAAAATGCTATTAATTGGTGTTGCAGGAATGAAACGTGCCTCGTAAACTTCGATCGATTTGGAGGAAGACCATTAATGTTACATAAGCATTTCAGGTCTCTTTGTTCAATCGAGAAAATTCGAATCACCCAGCCAAAGAGGAGGTTTCTTGGTTGGAGCTCAAGCTCGGTGCTGCATCTTTCTAACTTTCGCTTGTGGTTGATTGGAGTGTTCGTCAAAACGCCTTTGATTATTGTGGTCTTCTTCGAAATCACCATGGAGCCACCTTATGGTCTTATTACGGGAGGTTGCATGGTTGTGAAATCAATGAAGCAAAACTCTGACCACTCAAGATGGAAGTGGCTCGACGAACACCTCCAAGTTATTATAGAAGGAGATTCAGCAAATGTTATATCAAATGGTACACATGGCCGGATGTTATATTATGGAATTTGCGAGTTATTATGGATGAAATCACTATGGCTTTGACGTCCTGTGAGGTGGTATTTGCTCATGTCATGGGGGGTTCAACTCCGATGCCGATGATCTAGCCAAACTTACAACTTCTAGAGAATTGTAGAAGTGTCTCTTCTCTTCGTTCTTTGCTCTTGTGGTTGTGCTCTTTTCGGTTCTTTCTTTTCTCTTTCTTTATTTTCCTTGTTTCTTTGTAACTACCTTAATGAAATACATGTGCTTACTCAAAAAACAAAAAAACAAAAAAAAAAAACGAAGTCTTTCGCTTTTATCTAGTAATAAAATTCATAATATTGGTCAAAAACATTTCAATCAATCTGAAGAGGAGTGCACGAAGTAAATAAGCAGTTTGCATTTACCAAAAAAGTGGATCTCCAGTGCGGTTTCTACAAAGTTGCAACTTTCATCAATCCAATTAGAGCGCACTTCCAAATTTTGCGGCGCACCGTATTATATAAACCAGATTCTAATTAAAGGAGTCCGTTTATGCAGCCAAGCCCGCATATATAAAAAAGCAAGCCTCTTAATAAATCTATTTTTCAGATGGATTTTAGACCTTAATTTTTAAAGATACGTAATCTCTAACATGAAGATCATGAATATGAAAAAAATAAATTTAAAAACTAAAAATAATAATTCTAATAAAAAAACATTTAGACAGTTAGTTTTCATTGTTTTCAGATAGAATAAAAAAACATCTTTAAGATGAAAATGGATGCTTTACACTTTCTAGATAGCATATGTAAAAATGCCATCCAGCCCATGAAACAATTTTCCCTAATTAAAAGCATAGCAAGTGCTTTGATACATTAGATAAGTAAAATAGCTTGATAGGGCCGCAACCATATTAAAATAAGTGAAGCCTCACTTTATAACTCGTCAAAAATTTTAATTCAACCTTTACGAACATCTTGGCTTAAACGTTCTAACTGTAAAAAACACAAGCCCTAAAATTATAGTTATTGTCACAAATTATCTTAGACCGTCAACTTCCCCAAGTTCTAAAATGACTTCAAGATCTAAAAAGACTTCAAGCTCTAAAAATATAATTATTGTAACAAATTATCTAGACCACCATCCATTTCACCCTAAAAATTAAGTAATACATAAATCCGCGAGGCCTGTACCTTTATATATTTTTTAATTTCATTATCGGTATTAGAAATTGATTTTAAAAGCATCATAAAGATTTCAAGTGCTTAGGACGAGGACTTGACTTGAAGCAAGGCTTTATTTTGTTTCATAAAACCTAGGCCTTACCAGAAACCTCATCCTTTAGAAACACACGGGTGGTTGGGGGCGGATGCCTCTAACACAACATCCAACCCTTCATTCCCACCATCAACATATTTTAAAAAAAAAAAAACTGCAACACAATGGTGGTAAAATCAAGGTCATTTATTGAGAATCACGCCTGTACTTTAGAGATGCGTGCAATTGAGAACCCAAATATTAAAAGTTTGTCGGGAAGCCCATATAAGATATTGAAGGAGGTTCCAACATGAGCAACAAAGGACGGCTATGTACAGAGGGCCGACTGTACAATTCATCAGTACCTGGAAGGAAGGTATATAACAAGTGCATGGACATAATAATAAGGACGATAAAAAGGAAATGAGCATTTGTAGCCTAGTGCCCAAATGTGTTCTCCCCGCTGTACGTGACATAGAGAAATCCATCTTCATCTTTCTTCTCATCATAGATTGTCGACATGATCGCAGCTGCATGCATCACAAAACCAAAAGAAACTGCATTTAGCCCAATTACATTCATTTGTTAGGTTTGTTGATGTGCGTTTGCATGCCTGTTCGACAGAGCTTCAATAACACCACTGCGGCCAAATACAGTATGCACACACATGCACACGCACACAAGCACACAAATGTGTGTGAGAGACGCATACAAGAACACAAATGTGTGAGAGACACGCATACAAGCACACAAATGTGTGAGAGAGAGACACAGAAGGTTTCAAAAAACAAACACACAAATGTATGTGAGACAAAAAAACGGTCCGCCCGGGTCCTAAGCAGACTAAATGAATTAGACAGAAAAACGGTCCGCCCGGGGCCTAGGCGGACTAAATGAAAGAGACAGAAAAACGGTCCGCCCGGGGCCTGGGCGGGCTAAACTAAAAAACCGCACACCACCTCGATCGAGGCGGCCCTACACAGGCGGGCACCTAAAGCTTGGGTGGGCACGCCCAAGCAGGCTAGGCGGGCACCTAGGGCCTGGGTAAGCGTGCCCAAGCAAGCTAGGCGGGCGCAAGGCATTTTTCAATTTTTAAATTTTGCCCTGCAGTTGAACCTGGGAGGGCACGCCCAAGCGAGCTAGGCAGGCACCTAGGGCCTGCGTGGGCAGGCCCAAAAGGGCTAGGCGGCCGTACGGCGTTTTTTGATTTTTAAACCGCAGTTGTACCTGGGCGGGCATGCCCAAGCGGGCTAGGGGGGCACCTAGGGCTTGGGTGGGCGAGCCCAAGCGGATAGGCGACCGTAAGGCATGTTTCGGTTTTAAAATTTTGTCCGATAGAACAATGGGTCATTTTGATTTTTAAAATTTGCCCAATAGAGCAATGGGTCATTTTGACCCAAGTTTGTTGTATCAAAATGTCATGGGGTATATTTTTTAACCCTAAAGTGAAAAAACAGAAACCCTCAAATCTCTAAAATGGTGCTAAGACTTTGCACCACAGCGTCAGGCAGGTTTTTTTAAACCTTTCAGAGATCCAATTAAAAGAAAACCAACTCACACACACACACCATTCAAATAATGCTAGAAGAATATGACTCTAAAAGCAAGAGAGTTGGGGAGAGTAAAATCAATGATTCAAATGCTAACAAGTATATCACTCTTAGGAGAGGGAAACCTGTAGGAGGGAGCACATTGTCCACAAAGATGAATATTGCCTTCTCAGCACTCAACTTAATCCGTTTGCGAATCACATACACAAACTGCCCAACAGTCAGATCAGCAGGGACGAGGTACCTAATAAGATAATGCCACCATTCGATTATCGATGGGATATTTTGATGATACCTGGAAAGCACGCATTGGTAGAGAGAAGTAAGAAGTAAGACCAACTCACTTTTTCTTGTCTATGTTGGGAATATCGCTTCTCTCAGCCTTCTCAACAATCACCTAAAGATATAACAAATAACATGTACCACTCAATATTTAAAACACAATCTTATATAATTCTTATATAATAATTAAAAAAAAATAGTTGGTCATATTACAAATGCTAAATTCTTGGAACAAACGAACATATGCCTTTAAAAAATGTCTGGGTGCTCTAAAAGTTGAGATGTCCGTTTAAATCACCATATTCATATTGCTTTAAAGCACCACAACTATAACAAGAATACACATAAATATTCCATACAAAACTAACACTGTAGAACTCTTACTAAAGGATCCTAACAAAGCTAGTCATAACGAAAGGGCATCCATAGTATTCACAATCAAAGATGCAAACCAAATGGTCCCCAACCAATTGAATATCCAGAAAACAAATAAAGCCCATCAATTAGGAGAAAGCTTTTCATTTGCCAAAGGATGGATGCATTGTCCACCCTGGTTTTCACCTAATTTAGGACACAAAGCACACATCCGAATGCCCTCAAATCCATTTTCGTCTCAAATCCATGAAATTTGGAAATCCAAAAACAGTGCAGATCTAATGATCTTAGAAAAATGAAATGAACGGTCTAAAACAAAAAACGTTAAGGAATTCCGTCATTTCAGATTCATGATCATGGCAGTTGAGATGATAAGACATGCAAAATTTGGGATCTCAATCCATCTCCAAGATGGATTTTCAAGGAAATGACTCACTACAAGAGGTGTGGCTCTGGAGCCCGATGCACCTAGACTGCACATACCAAGAAGTAATAGTAATACTAGTAATAGTAGCAGTAGCTGTATTCTAGCCAACCGAAATTATGAGACACAAGTACTATGTCAGTTGCGAAAAGGAAAGCATATTCTAACAAAACGTCTACTGGTTTTCCAACATCTTTCAAGCTAGCACATTCACTTATAGTTTCTCTTTTTTTGTGGATTGTTGTGTTCACATATTGGTCTCCACAAGGACCTAATTCCTTTATCAGGTAAAAGTTCTTCAAATCTGAAATGCTGGAAGGAGCATAAGTTCTAATGAATGTTAGGTATCTAAATTTAATAATGTCAACTCATACCATGCACTAATTACAAGTTTCACATTCATATAATATTTGAAGAAGAAAGATACATAAATACCACAAAATCATCTTCATCACAACAATGTCACATGTTATCAGGGAAGTTAGCATAAAAAGAATATTTCAATTAAGAAGAATATTTTAATTCACAATAACCCACTTCTAGACCTGGATCTTCAATGCTTCCTTAGAATCCCATGTTCCACTCTGAAGGCCACTAAAATGGAAGGACAGATCAAACTTTCTCGGCGATCATTCATTCCTTTCCTAATCAAGGCAATTCTAAAGGAGACATTACGGAAAATGTTCTATTCCAGTATTCCATTATGAGACCAGAAAATCAGCTCAACAAACAGAAGGTACAACATATCAAAAAGATCTGAACCATATCTATTATGAACTACGTGTGAAAGACCTGTTCAGCCAATTGGGTCATTATTTTACACATACAAAGCAAATGCAATGCCAGTGTGTAAAAGAAACTCATAGCAAAAAGTGACACTAGATAAAATATAGAAGGAGATCTCACTGGGATTCTATCTGGATATTTTTCCCTGATCCTAGCAGCTTCAGCGCGTCTCTTCTCTGCAGACCAATATAAGGACACAAGCATGAAACACAGAAACAGCAATCGAAAATTGAATCCAAAGAAAATCTCAAAAAAAAATTTCTTTTTATGTCATTTTGTATCAAGGAGTTTCTGGCAAGAAAGAGTACAATAGAAATATGAAAGAAGAAGAACATCAATGGAAAGAATCTAGCAATGTAACTAAGTCTTGCATACCAAGGTCATGCTCCTGCTTGAAAGAACTCGTTGTCATTTTCTCCTGCTGAAAGACAGTGTGAAGGCTATCTTTGCCATCATGAGATTCAGTCGAAAGGTAACACCAAAAGAAAATAAAGAAACATCATGCAATTAAATAATGGAACACACATGCGAGGTTAGAATAAGATGTCATCAACATGCATCTCTAGCTAATAAGCGGTATAATGAAAATTCAATTCTGAAGATCCATAGAAGCAAAATTAGATGGGAATAAGTAGCTCACTCCTTCGAATGAGTTACGGAATCAAGAATTCCAACAAAACATGGATAGGCAAGTACAGACAACTTACCTCATTAAAGGGCTACAAATCAAACATAGCATGTGGCTTGCGGAGGTCACTAGTTTTAGGAAACAAATGTACAAAACATAATAATGTTTTACTAGATAATTAAATAAATGTTAGCATACTGTGTTTGCAATGCCTACAAATTTTACTTAAAAGAGGAAATATACTTATTACTCAACAAAAGAAGTTGTATTAAATATTTCAAAAAAAAAAGGTGTCTGCAGAAAATGTCCACCCTAACATCAATTTCGCTAACTGAACCACAATCCAAAACAGCAACTGCTCTATTCCTTTTCATCAAGCTCAACATAGATGGATGCTCCTTTGGTAGCCCAGGGCTGCAATTGCTTTGCTCATAGAATTACAAAGATTCGATGCAACCTGGGGCAAAATACCCTCATAATGGAGGGTGACTCCAAAAACATCACATTGTGGGCTCCTACTTCCGCTCAATGCACCTCGAGATTAGAGATCCCTTTTTCAACCATATATTTCACCTTTGCAGGCATCTGTGAGTGTCTTTCAGCACATCTGACAGGAAGCCAACCAGATTGTTGACTGTTGCCAGAGAGGGTGCCACAGTGGGGCTAACCATGGTAAGTAGCATCTCTTTTAGACCACTGCATCATTGGAGGACCCCATACCTGGCATTTTTGTCAATGTGGGTATGTATAGCCCATCATTATTTTTCAATTTATGCAACACTGATAAGCACGCCACACATCGTAGTGTATTTGTTCAAGACTACAGCCCCGTATTTTGGTTTTAATGTTCTGACAGAGCACCCGGTATGTGGGTTGCACTTTTTTTAACTATTTAAAGCTTTACAATATTATACATAATGCATAGTCAACCTTTTCAAAAAAAAAACTCTTTGGCATAACCAGGAATCAAGGATGCTATGAAATGTGTGCAAACAATTTAGAGAACTTCAAATCTCCTCTAGTGGTGAATCACTCAAGTAATCATACTTAATCAAGTGAAGCACAAGAAATGCTCAAAGAAAATTGCTTCTCATCAAGATTAATTTAAACAAAACCCCCAATCTGGTGGAGAACACTCTCTAAACCCAAAGGGATCCTCCTATGCTGTTAATATCAAGCCATTCATGTTATTATGTCTCCCAATTTCAACGGACCCGCGCAATTTAGCTCAAGAATCATTTCCCAGAAGATTAAATCATAAAATTTGTACCTTCACTCAGTAAAAATATCTTTAGTCTCGCAGACTCGCACAAATTCATTCATTTTGATGCCACTATACTCTATCGACAATTGCTAAGAGATCGTTCATGCTTCTTATTTTTACTTCAGCTCCCCTGCAATTGGAACGCGCACCTTAAAAACAGACTCTTTTCATCTTCAGAGAGCCCCAGAAGATTGCTAGCTTCGCAATCCTCTTAAAAATAGATTCTGTTCATAGCAACGGTCAAGAAATCCTAGAACATTAGAGCATCATTGGTGATATGTAAATGGGAAACCACAACGCCCCAAGGGATCACCTTGAAATCTTCTATTGATCCACAATCTACAGCCCACCTACTAAGGAAACTCAAAGGATTTCTTTGAATGGCTAAGGATTCCTAAAGATTTAGAATTTTGGATCAGAAACTAGAAAATTATGGACGTAGATAGCATCCGTTTTCAGAGACCAATAGTATTGGTTTTCAGAGACTGATAGTATCCGTTTTCAAAGACTTACTACGCTACTAAAAACATCCACGATAGATCTTTAAACCTATCTAATGAAAGCATAGTTCAAGAGATTCCAACTCGCAAAACATAGGCCTTTTTCATCGATCTTGAAGACAATACCAAGCCTCCCTCCCTGCGCCTCAAATCCAATAACCCATGGGCAACCTGATCCTTATAAAAATTCCGACAGACTTTTAAAAAGGCAGCTTGCATAGTACTACCACATGTTATCAATAGTGAAACATTGGAAATAAAAATGAAAGGCACCATACATAGGAGACGGATCAATACTTCTCTTAGTGATTGGAACAGAGAACATGGCACTTAACCACTTAATGAACGTACATGTTGCCTAGAACAAGTGAAAGGACATGACTTTAGTCCATCACAATAACACAAGTCTTATATGATAAAGACATCAGGGTCATGAAATCTGAATCTGTTAAAAGCACAAAAAGGAAGGACGTTATTGAAAACTCAAGTGAAAACTCAAGTAGAGCTGAGTTTGCCATCAAAACATGTTTGGGGTACCAACTTGCGGAAGAAACTCATGTGCATACTCCTCACCAAAAAGAGAACAAGAAATAGTTTCAATAGGTTTAAAGAATATCATATTTGCACAAAAAAAATTTAACAATACCAAAGAATTAGCTCTCACCAAAAAGGGAACAACAAATTGTTTCAATAGGTTTAAAGCATATCATATTTTCACAAAAAACCTATGTGGCCATGACTATGAGCAAGACTGATTTCCACAATAAAGAGAAAAGCAGAAAAAAAAAAAAGAAGGATATGCAAGTCTCTCATATATGTGTATATGCTATTTAAGCCAATAAAATCCATAACAGTACAGTCTCTTTCTGTTTTGGAATTCGAAAGAAACATGTAACTAGCCAACAAATTCATACATGAAAAAAAAAGAATGCTTTTGATTTTTTTTCTTAGTTTTGTTTCCTAGAAAAACGAATTTGCCCCTGTAATCATCAATCCAAGTCAAATGTAACAAGAATTTTAAAACATAATAATAATTGCATCTCGAATGAACAGAATTTAATCAAATCAATTCTGAAACGTAAACACCAATAAGGCCATAAACAAACAAAACCTCCTTCATTGAATCGAACAAATATAGATGCATGCATCAGGTAGTCAAAAGTGGTTTTTAACAAACAACACGAAATATAAACAAAAATTAACATCAGAGACAAAAACCTAGTTAGTTGACACAACAAACTGACTAAAGAAACCCGGTCAAATATATATAGAGAGGGGAAGAGCTATGGAAATCTCGATAACAGAATCTGAATAAGAGATGGAGAAGCCAAATAATTTCATTTAGATTTCTAATGGGGTGAACCCAAGTATTCTAGAGCTCACAGAAGAAACAGGATAATAAAAAAGAACCAAAAACAAAACACATATCTAAGCTGATAAATCAGGAAGAGAATAAAACCAGATATCAGGAAACAAATCCTTAATTTTCAGAGGGAAACAAACACCTTAATCATCAGAAGAGAGAATAAAACCAGTAAGAAGAAAGAAATCCTAATAATCCAGAGAGAAAACAAACAATGAAACCCACAATCACAAGAAGAAGATGCCTAACCTGAAAGACAGAGGGGAAACAAGAAGTTGCCCGATGCCCTAACTGCGATCGTTTTAGAGAGAGAAAGAGAGGAGAGAGAGGAAACCCTGTACAACAAGTTTAGAGACGAAGAAAAGCACGTCATCGGCCCTTTTATAAGTACAGGATAAAGACGGCAAGCATGATGATACACCCAAACTTTATAAATGACGAAAAACACCATCATCTTTAATACGAATCTCTCGCTTTCTTTCCTGTTTTCATGGAGAGGGAAATGGGAAAAAATCCCGGGCTTTTTCCTATTTTCTCTCCGGGGTTGTGTTTGTATGATGCCGAGGCTCTAAACAATCAAAATAAAGCGTACCTTCAAATATGGAAAAATGCTGTTTTAATACTGAAAATCATATATTTTTATTTCTAACTATAAAATTTAAATTTTAAAAAATAGTGTAGATCGAACAGGTTTATGAAAATCTTAAAAATCGATCATTCAAAAATATTTTACAAGATGTACTATTTCAAAACTTTAGACTCCATTCTTTATTATGTGTATACATCGTAATAGCGGGAGATGATCCAAACGAGCCCTAAACATATGGGGTTGTTTGGTTGCTTACCCTCGTTAACCCTTCCTTTTTTATTCTTAAGGGTATGTTTGATGACACCGTGATATCTTGATATTCAAGGATATTAAAGAACCTATAATTATCATAATCCCACAAAATTCAAGTGAATTTTACGCGATTCAATTCGTCCGTCACCTTGTTTCTTACAGGGCATGTACATTAGAGATACCCAACAGAAAAAAAAAACCCTTAAAAGAAAAAAAAAAAAAAAACTCTCTACTCTTCAGCTGAGGCCTTTAAACCACCATTGGCCACTAACCACTATAGGCCGCTATTTTCTCGGACAAAAAGGTGCTGTTAGGGAAAGAGGGTTTTAGAGAGAGAGAAAAGACGAGAACCCAAAGAGATATATTAGAATAATATAATTACCATCAAACATGCATAAATAAAGATATATTAGAATAATATACAATTTATAACTATGCAAAACGGCCAGTGGCTTTATTCATATTTTTATAAATTTAAATATTTATACTATGTTTTGTCAAACAGAACCTAAATTTATGTTTAAAAAACAAAATTTCTAACCATGGATCTATTAGATCCGTAGCTCAAGAACACCATGGTCCTTGGCAATTTATGGCTTAAAGGCATTGGATACCTAGAGATGCTTGTCTTGGGGATATGGCTTTTATGGAATTAGCTTCTTTTGAAATTTGTATGTCTTGGGATAGGGGTGTGAGCTATTTGGGTAGCACCTAATAAGAATTAATTATAAAAATGTAAAAAAATTATTTCATATAAATGTTTTTTTGATGGTATTTTGGCTAATTTATTTTATGTAAAATATTTTTTTTATATTTTCTGTAAATTTTCTTTCTTTTTTTATGTACACGTTCCAAATTTCTGATCATTCTGATTTATAGAAAAAAATATATATATATATAAAACACTACCGGACAATCGTGACTAGAATACCCATGAAACTTTTTGACCAGAATAATTGACCAGAATACCCATGAAACTATTTTTAGGGTATTTTGGTCAATAAATTACCAAATTGATTGACCAAAATACCCTCAATTTGGTATTTTGACCAAAATACCAAATTATTGACCAAATTGAGGATATTTTAAGGCCAAAATTGAGGGTATTTTGGTCAAAATAATACCCTCAATTTGGTATTTTGACCAAAATACCAAATTATTGACCAGAATACCAAATTTTGGTTAAAATACCCTCAAAATACCTTCAATTATTGACCAAAATACCAAATTATTGTCCAAAATACCCTCAATTTGGTATTCTGGTCAATTATTGACCAAAATACCCTCAATTATTGACCAAAATAAAAAACTATTTTGAGGGTATTTTGGTCAATTATTCCGTTCAATAAAAATATAAAAACATTAATTCGCAAAAATAATTGACCAGAATACCCATGAAAGTTTTTGAGGGTAGTTTGGTCAATTTATTTCATGTTAACTATTTTTTTAATATTTTTTCATATATTCTCCTATTTTTGATTCTCCAAATTTCAGATCATTCTGATTTGCAGAAAAAAAATGAAATATAAAACACTACGGGACAATCGTGACCGTACGATGAACTTTGGAAGGTGATAAAGGTAGACAAATCATTGTTCATTTTCGCTTAA